GCCAGAAGATATGTCAGATAGAGTGCCAGAAGATATGCCAGATAGAATGCCAGAAGATTTGCCAGATAGAATGCCAGAAGATATGCCAGAAGATATGCCAGATCATATGCCAGAAGATATGCCAGATAGAATGCAAATAGAATGTCAGAAGATATGTCAGATAGAATGCCAGAAGATTTGCCAGTAAGAAAATGTATAAATGTCATGGTGGGGATCACACGAAGTAAAGTAATTTTCCTCTTATCGTTTTCTCGAGTGAGAACTGCATATAGCTAATGGGGGATCATGGCATACTAAACGAATAGGTGCCGGGTTAGAGTTTCAGTCATCAACAAAGGCCAGTTTGGTGGAGTAGTGGGCATTTGACCTTCAATTCAGTTTCCTGCCAGCCAGTCCTTTAAACAACACCGTCAGGTGATTTCATGCTTTAAACCAAACACAGAGGGTCCAGTAAGTTTTCTGGAGTTTTCTGGAGTTTCCTGATTTTTCATGATGTCTGGCAGCGGGGACACCGCCACGTTTACCAACATCCACGTTAGTTTTTTTATGAAAATCGAATGCTAAAGCTCTTCGTCGGAGGGCGTTGGTGGCCTCAAGTTCAGTGGTTGTCGCACAGGTGAGCTCCATGTGTTTGTCCCGAACAATCAAAGCAGACTGGTCAATCGTGATTTCTTTGGGTGCTTTCTTTTGCAAAAGCTCATGGCGTCTCGTGGGAAATTTGTCGGGTGGAAGATACAAAAGGGTGTCCTTCTCAAGCATATGAAGCACTAGGTCGTAGCTTTGATGAGAACACTCTTCCTCGCCCCGAAATCTGAGCCCTTCCAACCTTGCTTTTTGGTCTTTGATTCTGTTGTCTCTTTCGGCAGGAGCTAATTTGGTCTTGACGCTCTCGTCTGCCTTGTGCACCTTGTTTTGGAGATCTGCCGATAGTAGCGTTTGTGCTTCAAAGATCAAACGCCTCATGGATGCAAAAGTCCCTTGGTTCGGAACAGCCCTTCCGGCAAATAAGGCTACAATTTGTTCATCGGTTGGTGATTCACCTGGCTGGCATGCTGCGAATGCTAAACGGGCAAGGGAATCTACCTGTTGTGAACCAATGCATCGATCTCATCTGACGTGAGGCTGACCTCCAGTCCTCTGGCCTTCAAGGCCTCTCGAGATTCCAGCAAAGTTCCCATTGCGCAGAAGCGTTGACAGTCTGCGGACTAAGTCAAACCGTCTGCTTATGTTATTATGATTGATCATATCCAATGAGGAGACTTGATGAGACATTGGGATTTCAATTGGTGATTGTGTGGTAAGGATTATACGTCAATATTGGGCGAAATCACATGTCACATTAGAATCTGTTGTTGAAGTTGACTCCTGAGACTTTCTTTGATTGGTTCACTATGAAATTTCAGGAATTGATCCAAGCCTCACTTGAGGATATGCACTCAAACGTGCACTGAGTTTGAACCATCAAAGCAGGAGAGGACATGTACTCACATGGCCGAACGGAAGCACTTGCTTCCCAAAAGAACATCTTCACATGAATGAATGTTCCGTTTTGATATGCTGATTGTTCAGAGACTCAGCACTTGTCATGATGGTTCTCACTTGAGAAATTTGAAGCACTTGCCTCTCTCTGAATGCCTGTCAACAGACCGTTTCTAATCAAACGAACGCAGCTCTTATTCTCCTTTTTCTTCATCTCTCAGAACGCAGCTTCTTCAGTGCTGATGCGAGCTGTCCTGCAGTTTTCAACGGCCGTGCAGTGGCACATCTTTTGCATTGCCTGAGCTCAAGGAAGTTGGAAGACTGGATTTCCTCGAAGTCTTTGGTAATCTTGACCCCACAGCTAAAAGTGTCTGCTCCACCGGAAGCTACTGCATGGACTATTAAGGTCTTTCTGTTCCTGTACATCAACATCTCAGGGCCCCAATCTTTGGATCGGGTCACTGGGTCTCCTTCTAGGTCTGACTCCGAACTTTCTTGGGATTCGCTTGACGATTCCGAAGAGGAGGATGATGATTCTTCTTCTTCGCTGGCATGTTCCCTTTCCTGAACAATCGGAGGTTTGCTTGGCACTGGGTGGCTATAAGACAAGCTTGGATCCTGCACGCTTTCTTCCCTAATCATTCCAGATCTGGTGGCGTCTGGTGAAAAGGCTCCAGTTCTAATCTGTTGTAAAACGAGATCGAAGTCACGGAGGGGCTTCGCAAGGTTGTCTCTCCCGTAACACTCAGCAGACGTTTTGCCTGTTGAGTGATGACCAAGCAGTGCACGTATGTCGGGCCCTAGACCCCACTTAGCGCACCATGATAACGGTGTCGCTTTCAAGGCATGAATGGTTGTGAAGATGGCATCTCCTTTCATCCCTGCCAGGATTTTGCGGAGCCATTTGCCTGCTTCCGTTGTCGTCACAGATCTGCCAGACCAAGACCCATCGGGTGTGGGTGCATTGAGCATGGGCTCGTTGCTCAGCGACTCTACAGGTCGGTTGGAACTCTGGCAAAGCTTAATGAAAATTAAACCCCATGGAAGATTCCCTACTCCCCAGACAGGTGCGACGAGAGGCATGGCTAAACCAGACTTGGCTACTAATCTGGAGGTCTTATGCGACCTTGTTCTGCATTCCAAGTACCCAGAGATTTTGCCTTCTGACTCCTTGACATCTTGGACAAAACCATAGATCCTTTTGACATCTGACCACCTGCTTCGGCTATAAAGACAGAAAAGCATCACACCGCATGCGACTCTGTCGGTAAGGCTCATCTTTTCATTGGTTAAGCATGACTCCAAAAACTCAACTTCTGCAACCGTCAACACTCTCGCTTGCTGTTTCTCAGGCTTCAGAGCGTCACACACTTCTATTATTCGTTGGACCTTTGCAGAAACCAACTCTTGACCAAGAGGAGCAACGTTCATCCTGAGGAAATGCTTGCAGAAATTCAGGGCTTCCAGGAAGCCTCTCATGGCAGACACAGTTTTCCCGTTCGCCTGTAATGCAGAGATGTATTCTTCTACCAAGGCGGAGTTCACTGGAAAAGGACATAACGAGAAATACTTAGTTCTGTACCATCTGATAAATTGAAGAATGCTTGAACCCCTTCTGATGATGGTGTTAGGGCTCCTGGTACCGAAGATCAACTTCATATCTGAAAGCCTATGTTCCGCTACGGCTACTCTCAAGTCGAAACCCTCAGGCCATGCATCCTCTCCTGAGGCAAAAATGAGATACCACTTTTCCAAGGCTTTCCTTTCAAGGTTGTCTTCCATTTCCTGTTCGCTAAAATCCAAGTTGAAATTGATGACCTCACTGAAGGCTCCACGGTAAGGCTTGGTGCTCGGCAGCGGGACTGCCTTGGAGATGTCCTTCTTTCCGGAGGTGATTTCAACGGGCTTCAAAACGGGAATAGGTATGAGCCTCTTTGGTTTGCGATCAAAAACTGTTCTCATGCCTGGTCTTTCCCACGGCATCTTGAATTTGAACACGGCTTGGGTAGATAGACAACTATCCTCGATCATCGACCTCAGGTCTCTCTTTTTGGCATCGCTCAATGGAGTGTCCGAAACATCTCGGCAGGGCACGGATGCTTGTGGGGAGTCCAAACATGCGTCAGGTTCCAAAAAGTCTTCACCCCCAAACAAGTTTTCGGATACATCATCTGTTTCATCTATGTCAAGAGGCAAGGGGACCCTCAGGTCTTCTGAAACAACCGATGACGAGTCTAGTCCTACGGCGTCCAGGCTTCCGGTTGTTTCCTGATCCTGGATCATGCAATTCCGGTGCTTTGCTGTCGACTGCAACCCCTCTCAAAGGAAAACCAAGGAGGTTCCGGCTGGGAAACTACGGATGCACGGATGCAAGAGATCTCGGAGGGCGTACTTCTGATCTGATCCTGTCACAGGACGCAATTATTGATGAACAAATGACAAGGAGAGTCGTCCGAAGAAATCACTACAACGCAAAGCAACCACAATAAGAGGATAATCTCTTCAGAAATCAGGCCTTGACGCCAGCAGAGGTCTGTCTCAAACCTAAAAATTCAACGCATATACGATCATAAACATGTATTGATGATCTCTGAAAGGTTGACACTTGTTATCAACTCCAACCTTCCGAAATGCTGAGATATGGTCACTCGACCTATTCATTCAGATCGACACTCGTCGATACGTTGATGATCTATCACATTGGAATTGACTGAGGTGCGCACAGCGAAGAGAACGTCAGGTCACTCGACCTGTGTTCCACTTTATGGACACTCGTCCATTGACATAAGAATCAGAAAATTCAGTCAAAAATATTCAATTGATCAATGTGAAAAAGGATGAACATCCTGTTTCAGATGAGGCTCTGGCTGTCTCGTGATCACCTGATCACACTCCAGTCTGGCTGGACAATGAAAACGTCTTGCCAGTTGAGGCCTTCTAGTCATCAGTCACTCGACTGTGAATTCACCGGGGCTCTGACGGAAGAAGGAATGTGCCGATTCCCCCCCCCACTTTCAAAATTGCGCTCACTTGAGCCTAGATCAAAATTGACTTCCTGATTGCGCATGCTCTGCCAAACAGAACCGATCAACTCAAATCTGAACTCACTCGAGTCCATGACACTTTGGGTTTCATCAACATGAGCAATTCGACATGCGTCTGATGAGAGGAAGTGTGGGTCATATAATTCTGGGATAATGCAAAGGCACATGCCCGGTTCAATCTTCATTGTACATGACCGATATGACAAAAGACATCTGTCAAATGTGGACTTCACTCTGAAATCTGTGATAAAATTATGAAATCTGAAAACGGTGCGCAAATCCCCCCGATGAAAACTGTTTTTCTCAAAAAGGACACGGTAAGTTCAGCAGCGCGTGGCCAAAAGCTGAACTGCTTCTTGGAAAAGCCGAGGATGTAGCCAGAGGCGTTGATCCAGTTGTAATTGAAATTGTAAAATTGCAGGCTTGGGCCTTGAACTGTACTGTTGCTTCTGCTCCAAAAAGATCTGCGATGCAGGGTTACACACCTCCTGGTGTCGGTTCCAGATCACTCATTTGAAGGGTGAGCCCCAAATCCGCAGCCAGATGTGGGAATGCGACCCCCAATGTTTCAATGAGGGAACCCAGGCGCTGCTCAGTGCGCTGGATCTGGCTACGCAAACCCACAACTTCTGTGCGAAGTCGGCAACATTCTCCATGGATGCGGCTGATCATCTCGATGGATTCGGTGGATGGCATGAGGTGTACTTCCAGTCGGGTCTGGTGCGAAAAACGCTGACCTGGATGACCTCCGAGATGAATTGTATTGTGAAATTGTGCAGCCCGATCCAAGAAAAACTGGAAAAGAAATCTGTCAATGATGACAAAGTGCACTGCCGTACCTTCTTCGAGGCTGTCATCGAATGGCGTCCAATGTTCTTGCAGGAGTTCGATGCTGGGTAATAGGTGCACCTGTGAGGATGTCTTCAGTGGATAGAGCAGACTGTTTATTTCACAGCCTTCGATGCCGAAGTCGTCCAGATCGAATGGAGCGAGCAAATCGTTGACGGTATACGGTACCTGCTCATCGGACACGTTGTAGAAGACTGGAACAGTGAGCTGATCCAGTATCGGGAGACGCAAATCATCGAGCGTCATCATGCCGACGAGTGCAGGAACGGCCGGTCAACGAAAAATTTGAAAGTGAACATGATGTTGATGATTGCGAATTTGTTCATGTTTACTTTCGTGAATTGATTGACATGTCAAGTGTTGAGATGAATTAAAGACATGAGTCTTGGCACTTGCCATGTCGTTTCTGTGGCACTTGCCACAATGCTTCACTTGAAGCTTGAATCCAAAATTGCAACATGATGAAAAATTCGACACATCATCACCGTAAACTCAAAAGATTCGAAAAGATGTTCACTGGAAGAAAACCACCATCCTCGAGATCTATTAAAGTTCAGTTTACATCTGACATTCTCATCTCCAATGTTGTTCAGTGTCACCACAGGCATGTAATGAAACATTACATTCTTCACGTTTCGTAGTATGTAAAAATCTATCATGTTCCATGAGAGAATTCATATATATCAGGATTGCCTTCGATACCATCCATAAACATCCCGTCCGCGCCAGAATCGACCAAAACAGTTGGAATCGATGTGTTTTGTAGACGTTTCGAACATGGCAGTTGTTCCAAGCAAACGCTGGCCATCGCTTTCCACACATCATGGTTAATTTTTGAAATGCATGTTGAAACATCCAAGAGGATCTACCTGAGAAGGTGTGGTGGAAGGAAAATAAGAATTTGGTGTTAAAATTGTAACATAAAGCAAGGTCAAATTTAAACCCACTTACATTTCGTTCACAATCAATTTTTCAATTATTTTGCATTCCAGCTAAGCTAAGTCTGAATGAACGAAATCTCTTGGACCAAGGAGGAATCGAAAGGGGGACGGGTGGCTTAAGTGAAGAACGGATACTTAAAGAACAAAAATCAATGCTTGAAGGCAATCCCAGCCACAAGTGCTGAACACATACAACCCAGAGCCTACGCTACCGTTGGTGAAAAAGGAATGATCCATCCTTACCCTGGTAATGTGTTTCATGTTGTTTTTGCTGTTTTGTGGTGTTACGGCTTATGTTTTTGCAGGTTGAAACATAAAAAATGGAGCACAAAACATTATGCCCCCAAAAAGACCAAGGCAAAAGAAGTAAACATCATGCCAAAAAATAATAATAACATTTTCCTTGTTGCAAACACGCCTGCGGATTATATCCATGTGACATCGTGTTGACTCACATGCAAGCAGCTGCAACTGAATGTCATTTGACATGAAACAACTGCTTTGCAAATGTATATGCAACTGAAAGGGAAGGTGCAGAAATACGTCAATTCTGTTCACCCCGCCTCAGTTTCGAATTAGTTCTCATGAAGAAACTGTCACAAATTGGATCTGAGGCTATCGACAAAGCCGCAAAGCTAAGGGCAGATCCAACCTAAATTCCTCAGTTCTATTTCCAAAATTCCAAATTCAGTCATCTCAAAAGTCCATGTGCTGGCTTCCCAAGACTTTCATGGTATACTGCCCGACGCAAACTATGATTGCATCACCACTTTGCATCACCACTAGACATTGTAGCGCGAGCCACGCACTTCCACCAGAAGGCCTTCGATCTCCTCCATGGCAATCACATCGTTGCGGGCTTCAGCTTCATTCCATTCTGAAAGCAAACGGCGCTCTCTAGCGGTGAGCACTCCATTGGTCTCCACCATAGCTCGGTGCAAGGCATCCTCATTGTCCAAGGGATCAGCCTCGAAAGAGTCAGGTGTAGGAGAAGTTTCACCATGGTTGTAATGCATCCACAAATCTGGATCGTTCACACTACAGCTTCCGTTGCTTCAGTTTCCCTAGTATAGAATTACGTACATGACATTCCAAACATGTGTGGCAAGGCTGCTGCGCAGGTGCCTTCTGTTTTAAGCGTGGTGCAGAAAAGGTCCAATCTGTACACAATGTATTAGAACCAGCGGGTCCAATATTAGTACAGCAAGACCTAGATAATGAACCCCATTCAAACTGACACCAGTCAACAACCCAAACACCGGGGTATGTTGGGGTCAACCAGTAGAGGTGGGGAGTTCTAAAAGCACCACCTCCAAGACCACAAATGGTGGTGCATGGGGATGGTGGTGGGCAAACAGATCAGGGAAACTTGAAGCAAAATGGCCACGGACCAGACACTGAAGTTTCCGGGTCCAAAGTATGAACACATATGTACAAGTACATGACACGTTCACACTACAGCTTCCGTTGCTTCAGTTTCCCTAGTATAGAATTACGTACATGACATTCCAAACATGTGTGGCAAGGCTGCTGCGCAGGTGCCTTCTGTTTTAAGCGTGGTGCAGAAAAGGTCCAATCTGTACACAATGTATTAGAACCAGCGGGTCCAATATTAGTACAGCAAGACCTAGATAATGAACCCCATTCAAACTGACACCAGTCAACAACCCAAACACCGGGGTATGTTGGGGTCAACCAGTAGAGGTGGGGAGTTCTAAAAGCACCAAACAACTCGACCATCGACCAGCCGGAGTGAGAACTCCCCAAAAACCAATCGATGGAAGCACCCAGTCAGCGGACTGCAGCAGGCCTTTTTCTCGCAGGTGAATGTCAAAATGGGAAGGCCACTTTCGACCAGTTTGGGTAATCTCAATACCTGATGACTGCAGCAGCTCAATCCAAGGGATAGATCTCTGCGACATTGGATCAACGGCAACGGAGAGTGGTTCCTTGAAGCGACTCAATTCATCTGCCAGCACATTCAATCGACCAGGGATGTGAGTGATATGGGGATAAACTTGATGTCGCCGCATAAATTGAAAATATGGAGTCAGCACTGCCGCAAGGGCTGGGGTCATAGTGAGACCTTTGGCAGAGGCTGCATCGGCTGCGCTATTGTCTGTGGCTTGATGACATGCAATCGGACCACGTGTACAGGGCAAGTGGGTGGCAATGCAATAGGATAACGCAAATTGCGCAAGGAGTTCCCAGGCAGCAATATGCTTTTGCATGTCGTCACCTAGCCACGGCCATAGCGATTGAGCATCTGCAAGTGAGATGCGAAACTGAAACCAAGTTGAAGACCCGTCTGGAAATATGGCTGCACCACCAAGCCCCGCCAGGGATTGTGAAGCCATAGCATCAGCCGTAGCATGGACTTGAATCCAATCTGGATGGCACATCGACAACGAAAATGGCGTCGAAGTCAGCAACTGCAGCCAGATTTTGAGGGTTTCAGCTGCTTCATCATTCAGTTTACGGTTTGGTGTAGAGGGATCTGAAAGGCCTACCCAAACTCGACGTGATTTGATATGCATCAGTTGGACGACGTGCTTCAACGTGTTGACATTGGTGTTGGCCACACGACACAATGTAACCCCTTTCCGAAGTGACTGATGCTTGTGGGTCAACTGAGTGCACAGCTGTAATTGGTCATCCAAGTGAGCGGTCAGGGTTTGAAACGTCACATGATCCATGCCTACCATAGTGATAGGAATGCGATGCAGAACTTTGTACAGTGGTATGAGGAGCGGGCGTAGATGTCGCCACGCCGAGGTCAACCACAAGAGGCGTCCCACCAGCGACTGCATTTCACGCAGTGTCAGACGTTCTGAACGTTGGATGGACCGAATTTGAGCTGTGATCCGCTCCATTTTCTCAATGGGGACTTCAATCGTCCAGTAGGCGACTGAAATTCGCCAGCCAATCCAATCTACAGTGTCTGACAGCGCTGCTTTATGCCATGACATGGGCACCCCCAGAATCAGCAGTAGAACCACAATCAATGATGCCCACAGAGGAGAAGAGGCCTTGTCCAACCAGGCGAGAAGGTCATCAACATACTGCCACAGAGCATGCCCGTGGGCCAACAGTGAATGGCAAGATCGCACCATTATGCCCGCCAATCGCCCCCAATACCAGCCACTTGCACGAGCTCCAAAGTTGAGTGTAATGCATCTGTAAAGTTCCCCATTTGCATGAAAGCAAAGGAGGCCGCCATCGTCAGGATGAACCAAGATTCTGCGATGGGCTTTTGCCACATCCAAGGTGAGTTGCGTCATCTGTTGAATCGCCATGCTGTCAGGGGCACATTGAATGACATCTGATATACGTGGCAGGAGCATATGGTTAGGCAACACAGTATTGGCTGTCACCATGCTGATAGAGCTGTCTACAACCAAGCGAGGCGAGCGACCAGGCGCAAGGACCACTCCAAGCTTGCCTATGGCTGCTTTGGAATACATCTGCTTGAGTTGTGGAATACCCCCTGGTACGTGCGCGATAAAACCAGCATCAAGCTCCTCTTGAATCAGGGATTGCACAATCTCTGGGTGATCTTGAGCGCTTTTCCAGCTGTCACTACAGTCTTGAAGCGGTACCTCCTCAGGCAGCATACCTGAGTATTGTGGCCATGCCGGAGAAGGAGTCAGCGGCTCATTGACACCCAAATGTACCCCTTTGGGCAGTTGAAGGAGGAAGTCTGCGTCAGGGTCGCGTAAGAATGCTGCCAACCGATGCCACCAACTTCAAACGAAAGGGTTGGCCCGGTGAAATGTCCAGGAGAAAGTCACCTGGTGGGCAATCCAGTATCTCAAGGATGTCGTCCAGGTATGGCTTGAGCTCACTCTCGGAGAGGGGTGGCTCTTTGCAGCCTGACAGTAATGCAGCTGTGATTTTGAGGCACTGTCTGCTATCACTGAGTCGTCTAAACCATCTGGAGCGCAACGCTGCCAGCTTGTCATGTCGTTGTGGTGTCATGTGGAGTGCCGTGCTCGGCAAACCACCTCCATCCTCGATGCGACCTGGTGGATCTGGCCAAGACAGTTGCTTGGGCAAGATGGATTGCCAGTCAGCCGCATGTATCACCTGGTGACCAGTCGTCAGGAAAGGTCTGATAATAGACGCCAATGCTTGTGCCAGTAAAGCAGGGTACTCAGCACTCAGCAGTGATCCTGCTTTTGAATGTTCCATCAGGGAGACGGACGCCAACAATAGGTTCGTGTGTCTCCGATGGGTGAGGACAAGATCTGGCTAGGTGGCTAATAGCTGGTCTGTTCGCCACAAACATCCATGCTTTGGCCCAATCCT